AAAAAAAAAAAAAAAAAAAACCAAACCGTTTTCGCTTCATTGGTATCCTGATGTTTTAACATCGCGGCAAACACCGGAGATCGTGCTGCCAGGATCGCTCGATGTGCTTTGATTTCTCGATCGCCTATTTTGATTGTAAAATCCGACAAAACAGTGTCCCTCAACATTTTCAAGTAGTCTTCGGTAAGCTGCTGCTCGCCATTACTCTAAAAAATTTGGGTACCAAAAAAAAAAGAGTTGAAATCCATTTACGAAGAAAGCAGTTACTGACCAACAGACTTGCTTCCCAATCAGCTGATCTTTCACACTGCTCTCTCAGCTGCTGTTCTCCGAGAAAATTGTAAAAAAACTGCTAATGGCAAACAATCAAGCAGAGTAGGACAAACTGCTCATCTTGTCGATGCACGCTGCACAGCAGCAGTAAATGATATTCCCAAGTGAAATAAACAAATGCAAATCGAAACTCAATTTAGGCATGCGATTTTCCCCATATGAACAAAAAATATCCCGACAAAATTTCAGCTATTGTTTTCCACCCAGTTTTTAAGTTGGCACAGTGCCAGTTGTGAATTATGACATGACCGTACGCGCGGTATGAACGTGTACCACTCGGACGACTTCCGAAGTGGCTACGAAGTTGGAGATGTACGGATCAAAACCAAAGCCTTGGGAAGCTAAGCCAGGTGTGTGGCTGCCTCTTAGTAATGTCACTAATATGAGATAACCACTAATTGCCGATCTCCAACGGTCCTAAGCAATCCCTCCAGTGACCCAAATTTTCGTGTAACTTCCATTTAGTGTTCACTGTAAATTACCGTCATCATTTCCTCAAGTGTTGTTGTGACTGTTTCCACGGCTACGTCGATTTCAACGTTCACAATGATTGAGTCATTTGGTAGGATTTGTGGGAAGAGAACATCTCGTTTGATATATGAGACATAATCGGAATGCGATGGATTCGGATGGATACGCATCTCAATCTCTTTCATTTCACTTGTCCGTAAAATAAAACTGAAAAAGTTCAATACCCCGATATGCAAAATGTGTTTTATCGGCTCAAACATCGGCTGCGAAACTAAAATTGCTTTTCAGAAGAGACAGAAAGCGATTGCTTTTGGCCCATCTAAGCCAATTTTTCCAAAGAAGGGAACAAGATTCAGAATATTCTGACAAAA